CTCGGCTTGGGTATGGGGATGCATGGCATTGGGTCGTCCGCTCCCTTTTCCATCAACTTCCTCTTCTCCAGGTCGGATGCGTCTTGCGCGTTGTTGTAAATCACGGGCCCGTTTTCATAAAACACATGCAGTCTCGATGGATACAGTGTTTGGGAGCGGAGCCCCTTCTCTTTTAAAATCCTCCTGATTGTGTTGTATGCTTTGCGTTTAGCTAAAATGTCACTGGGGTAGTCTTGGTCGAAATACACACGTCTCCCATTCAGCAGTATTTCTTCTTTGGTCCACGCAGAACGGAGCACCAAGTCCTTGGTCTTGTATTCCAAAAAATGAATCATGATAGACCTGGGTTTGGAGCCCGGTGGTGGCTTGGGGCAGAGTGAGCGGTGGCACCGCTGTATGCCCAGATTGGTGTCAGAGAGAGACAGTTCCTTCTTTATAAAATTCTCCATGAATTCGAGCATGTTGTCCCCTTCTTCACCCTCTGGTATCCCGTGAACACGTATGTTAATCCTGCAAGAACAGGCTTCCAGGTCAGACAGACGTGTCTGGAGGTCCCCTTGTAACTGGAGAGCATGGCCGAGCACGTCTTTAAGATCGACTGTGACCTCCTCCACCTCGGTTACCCTCCTCGATTTTGCTTGTTACCTCTTTCATGTCCGTGACAATTTCGTCGAGCCGTTGCCCCACTTCTTTCCTAAACTCCAACATTTCTGTTTTCACAAATACAGTCTTTTCCGCTATTTCTCTTTTCAAATTATCCTGGACTTCTTTCAGCTCAGCGACAATGTTAGCTTCAATTGCCTCCATAGCTCCGTGTAGCTTTAGCTTGCTAGCACCGTCAACTTCTTACGGTGAAAAAACTTCTTCCTCCGCACTTTCTTGCCAAATTCCTCTTCTCTTTCTCTTGTCACCCCCTGGCATACAACTGTGAATATTCTTAGTTGTGTTATAACATGTCAATATTCAAGGGGTAACCAGACCGCCCGGGAGCTGAAAGATTATGCTGCAACCAGTTTACTCACCATCCGGAAGTCCGCTTCAAACACCTTTAAACTAAAATCATCACTCAACATAGTGTTATTCTTCCATAAGTCTCAGAAGATACATTTATGCATATTCAGTAATCAGTTGAAAGAGCTATGTTGTGCAATTACTGTGATAAAACTGATTAGGTACGGTAAGGTAAGTAGAATAAAAGGGTCAGTAACTACATCCAGAATAATTAAACGTACTAGGAATGGTTATTCTGGAAGACATTGATATTTTAGTATAGTTTATGTTGGTCATTTTAGTTTTTCCATTGTTTTCAGTTTTTCTTGATGGGTTATTACTGTTTAGAAAGTCCCTGTCTGATATCGCTGCTGTTTTCTTTATCTCGTCAGTCACTAATTTTGACCCAAGAATATTTATTTAATTTAATTTGTAAATATCATAAAGGCAACTAAATATAAGGGGAGAAATACGTTGTTTAAAGTTCCTATTGACACAAAGTCACTTAAAAATGAAAGAGTTATTTTGACACCATTTCAGTTGACCTCACTGCACGGGATTTCTGGAGACAGTTGGGTACTTTCCCAGTGACAGTATGAGCAAGACATGACACAGACCAGAGAGCTCTTTAAAGTAACAGTCAAAAGAGGGTGTGATGTGTTGTCGTCCCTTTTTCGTTTAACTTTCATTGACAAAGCAAGGGAAAGGCGTGCCTGGAGTATGTGGAAGATCTTCATGTCCCTGACCATGTTGCACAGCCACACTGCTGAGGGTCTTGTACCACCAAATTCTCTGGTGGGAACCTGCGATAAATAAATCTCAAGCTGAAGGAACATGTCGAATCAGCTTGGTTACCTTGTACCTCTCTGAAATCAGCTCACGGATAATAGCTACGGAATGTAGCTTTGGCAGCTGTAGAATCAAAAATGGGAATTCAAAAATTGAATTCAGCAAGGACATAAAGGATGGCTTTCACTCAGTGTTGGCAGAAATTCTGGCAAAACCCAAACACTTCAGAAAGGGGAAGCAGTGCTTTCTACACAGTGCATGCAGTGTAGATGGAGTGCTTCACGCTTCACCTGGACACAATTTGGGGTGTATAGGACATGCTAGAGTGGGGATTTCTATAGACCAATCAATTTTGTGCGTCTATAAAGTGAGCTAGGGGGATTTCAAGCAAGTAAAATTTGATCTTAACTGCAAACTATTCTGTTCTCAAAAGATTGCACCCCACCCAAACTGCTCTCAAATTACTGTGCACAGTTGTGGCAGGCTTGTAGCATGCTGGCTCCAGACTGGACCTTGTTTTTGCCTATTTGTTTTAAGGAGTTTCATGTGGCCCTTTTGAAGGCAATAATAGACTTTTGCTTTGTCTTTTTATTCAATTTGTACATCAGCATGTCATGGCCTTTACCCGTCCACCACCTACTGATGCCAACCTTTTTTTCATTCTTTTTTTTTTAATTTAAAAAAAAAGTTAAATGATAAGTGATGGCCTTCAGTAAAAGTTAAATATAAATATAATGTACATAGAGAGAGTGCTGCATAAACAAAACAAAACGTACCTCAGTAAAGTCCGGACGTTTTAGGGCTAGATCAGATGACCCTGAACTCCTCCCCCCTCCTAGTGATGTTCCTATAGGCATAGGCTGCTGATGATCTCATACTGTGTTTTTAGTCTGGTCACTCTATGCTCTATTCTTTCCTCTCACCCCCAACTGGTCGTAGTAGATGGCTGCCCCCTCCTTAAGCCTGGTTCTGCTAAAGGGTTCTTCCTGTTAAAAAGGAGTTTTTCCCTCCCCACTGTCACCAAGTGCTTGGTCATAAGGGGTTGCCCAGGGGTTTTCTTTTTATTAGTGTAGGGTCTTTACCCTACAATATAGGATGTTTTGAGACAACTTGTTGTTGTCTCAAAACAATTGGCACTTTTGTGTTTTCTCTGGACTGGAATGGTGATCACTCCTTCAGAGGCATAGGCTACTAAGCCTGTACCAGAGGGGTGGTTTTGTACCTACAATGCAAATGTTTGTATTCATACAAAAGTTTCATATTTGGGCGGGTGGAGGTTTGGGTGTTGCTCTGAGGCTGTGAATACTGCTGTTGATGTTTTGCATGACTGTTTTGACAGAGAGGGAAAATTACTGTCCAGCTAGATAAATGGATAAATCCTCTGGAAAGTAGGTCATTAGGTCCAGTTGCAGTTTCAGTTGGTGGAACCTTAATTCTTCCATCTTCTGTCACTGCTGTTTCCTTTCAGTGATTCCAGATTTATTGTCCTTCCTTACTCCTTATTGTTGCTCCTCACATTTATTTCCCTCAGTTTATCAATTTGTTTCCCTCAGACATTACGCAAACCTGAAACATCCAAGATATCTCCCGTTAAGGCTTTTTGGTCAGTTATGTTTTTGTTCAAGTAATGTCAGTTACTGGAACATTTTTGCTATCACATACTTGCAGTCAAGAGCTTACACTGCACTAAAACAATGGGCTGAATTTCCTGGAGAGC